GCTGTCCCTCAAGCAGTTAGATAATGGGTTTCACACCCACCTGCTAGCGTGAAGGCAACTTTCTACCATGTGCTAAAGACTGTTTTAAAAACAACATTAACAGTCAACCTGTGGAAAATCTTAATGGTATTCCTCAGACAATTGTACATTTATGTTTACAGTAGTGATGCCCAGGTCCCACTGCCTGTAGACTTTGTTCAAGTAAAAATCTCATGCTTCAGCCTGAACAGTTGATGAATGTACACGAGTGTGTTGTAGTAACTGTTTAGATTTTTTTAAAAAAGCTTCAATGTTTACATTCAGTTGAGGAAGAGAGGAATATATCTGAGATAATCTTTTGAAAGTTAAATAAGGGCAAGTGTGAGACCACGTAAGCAGAACTGACTAAGAAATGTTGGTACCTTAGGTTAAAGGTTAGTTCACTGGAGATGCATTGACAGACATTTTAAGGGGATATTTCAGAACCTACAGAATAGTTGCATTCCAAGAGTAACAAGCTCCAAGGGATAGATGCACCATTTCTGGGTAAGTAGAAATGTTAAAGGTAGCAACAAACCGAAAGAAAATGCATATAATTATGCAGGTAGATAGCAGGTCAGACAATTTTAAAAGCATGATCAAAAGTTAGTCAAATGGGAAAAGATCAAATAATAGAGAAACCAATAAGAAATATATTTTTAAAAAAGTTTTTAAAGAGTATTTAAAGAAGAAAAGTCCATGTTCAAGAGCAGAGTTAATAAAGTTAGCATTGATCCTTGTAGAAAGTTAGACTGCAGAACTAATAATAGAAAAGCGGAAACAACTAATGAATTAAATGGGTATTTGGCATATCTTCACTAAAGAGGATGCAAGTAACATGCCAGAAGTAGAGATAAATCAGGAAATGAAAAACCGGAAAATAGCAGTTACCAGAGACATAGTACTGAGTAAATTGTTGGAACTCTGGGTTGACAATGACATGGTTTGCATCAACTTCATCCTAGTGTTTGAAATGAAATGGCTAGGGAGACAATTGATGCAATTGGCTTTACTTTTCTGAAGCTCCTTGATTTGGGGACCATCCCATTATATTTAAAGATAGCAAATATAACATCTTCATTCAAAAAAGGAAGAAGACAGAATGCAGGAAATTACAGGCCAGTTAGCCTAACGTTTGCCATAGGGAATATGTTAGAAGCTTTTATTTAAGAAGTTCTAGTAAGGCATTTGGGTAGAGTCCAAGTAATTGAAAAGAGTCAAAATAGTTTTGTGAAAAGGGAGTCATGTTTGACCAGTGTATTGGAGTTCTTCAAGGAGTTATAATGTGCTGTGGATAAAAGGAAACTGATGGGAGCATGTACTTTTGATTTCTAGAAAGTATTTGATAAGTTTCTACATCAGAGATTATTTTTATTGTTATGTATTTTGATTTTCAGGAAGCTTTTGATTAAGTCCCACAAAAGAGATTTTTATGCAACTTCAAAGCATATGGCATTGATAGTAATGTCCTGGCATGGTCTGAGAATTGATTAGCAGAAAGGAAACAGGAGGAATAAATGGTTTTCAGAGTGGATGACAGTGATAAACAGGGTCACAGAAATCAGTGCTTGCACTCCACTTATTCACAATTTATTGCAATATTTGGATCAGTAAATCAAGTGGAATATTTTCAGATTTGCTGAATGACACAAAACTAGGTGAGAATCAGGAATGAAGATGATGTAAAGGGATTTCAGGACGATTTAGAGAAGTTGATTGATGGGATAATGTCAGATTCAGTATAATGTGAATAAGGGTGAAGTTGTCCACTTTGGTAGGAAAAACAGAATGGCAGTTTATCCTATAAGTAGCGATTTGATTGGGAAATGAGGTACTGTGGTTGTTGAAAGCAAGCTTGCAGGTGCCAGTGAACTCAACATTACGTGATAGCCCTCAGTTGGATGTGGCACATGTTTTAAGAGTGTGTTCTTAGTTTAGTTTATATCTCAACCCTTATCTACCTTCCACACAGCTGTACACCAAACCGCAAGACAACATATACAGCCAGTATCTTGCGCTATTAGAAAGTATCACGTTGAGCTATAATTATGATATTAGTAATTTTTCTCTCTCGTGCCTGAGAGGACTGAGAGTAGAACAGAACAATGGAAGATTTTTGCTCTTCCACAGAATTTGCATGTAGAATGGAAGAGATAGCGGCAGTACTGCTGCCTCTGAGTCATGAGGAGTAGTGAAGATGTATAATATAGTGCCAGAGAAGGAATGGAATCTGTTACATAAGACTTGCTGTAATTTTGAGAAAGCTAGCAGTGTGGTGAAATATATAAACTGTCGGGCTGCTTATGAGAAAGGAGGAAATGAGACGAGAAGAGGGGAGATTTAGAAAGCTAGTAAATTTAACATGGCTATTCAAGAAAGGAGAGTGAGAGAAAAGAAACGAATTACAGGCCAGTTAGTTTGATGTCAGCAATGATGGAGCTGTACAAGGCTTTGGGAAGACTACAGTGGGAATTTTGTGTGCAGTTTTGGTCTCATTGCCTAAGAAATGTCTACTTGCCATAGAGGAAGTGCATTAGAGGTTCGCCAGCTTGATTCCTGAGGTAGCAGGTTTGTCATGTTCGGAGAAATTAGGTCAGCTGGAAAAGGTCACTATAGCAAAAACTGAAATTGTTGGAGAGATAGCAACTCTGGCATCATCTGTGGAGAGAAAGCAAAGTTAACATTTTGAATCTAGTGACCCATTTTCAGAACTGATGGTAACTAGGAAATGGTGGTATATGTAATGAAGACTGGGTGAGTGGGGATTAGGTCATAAACCTAAAGTGGGTGGAAATGGGGAGCCTAGAGGGTGAGAAAGACAGCTAGGCAGACAAAGCAATTGGACAATGGTAAGCCAGGAAGAGAGAAGAACTGCTAATGGGGACCACCTATCACTGCTAGACCTGCTGAGTTTCTCCAACAATTTCTATTTTTGTTTCAAGATTTCCAGTACCTGCACTTGTTTTTTCAAAGTTGTCACTGTTCCAGAGGACTGCGCTCTCATTAGAAAGAGACAGCTTGTTGTGAGTTTAACCTGAGGGGCACCAGGCCTCAGGGAAGAGGCAAAGCTAGAAGGCAGGAGCTTTCATGGTAACCTCAGTCGGTGCAGGAGTTGAAACATGAGTTCTAAACATTCATTACACAGCAAAAACGTGAGCATGCTGAGTGCTGGTTGGGTCAGATAGGGTGATGGGCATGCACACCCAGCCGTTCTGTTCTTTATTCTACTTCTCTATGCCTTGCTTTTTCCAAAGTACAGAGGCAACCTGCTTGACATGTTGATAGGATGATTTTGACCTGCAAAAGATTCTCCTTTAATATAAGGTGAGCCATATTCTTTGTTTAAACCGTGGAATAAAAGTGCACCCTTGTGTCATCTCACACCTTCCATGAGCCTACGTATAATCCCTATACGTAGCTTTTTTTTTTCTTGGTCAACTTTATTAACAGCAGAAGTGCTTTCCCTATCTCATTTGTGCTGTTACCTATTGTGAATTTCGGAATGCCTTTACCTACCATCCTCAGCTACCTTTTACTTTTAGTCAGTGGCCTCAATGTTTGTATTCACCTTTTTTCTTCTTCATTCATAGAATATGCACTTTGTTGGCTAGGCCAGTATTTATTGCCCATCTCCAGTTGCCCTTCAAGATATTCGTCAGTATCTTGAACTGCTGCAGCCCAATCTTGTACATCCATGGTGCTGTTAGGGATGGAATTCCATGATTTTGTCGAAGTGACACTGAAGGAACGGCAATCTACTTCCAAGTCAGAATCATGAGTGGATTGAAAGAGAACTTGCAGGTGGCTGTGTTCTTGTGTATCTGTTGCCCTTGTGGTTCTAGATGGTAGTGGTTGTGAATTTCTGCAGTGCAGCTTATAGATGATACATACTACTGCTGCTGATCATTGTGGATGTAATGCCAATCAAGCGGGTTGCTTTGTTCGGAATGGTGTCAAGTTTGGGTATTGTTGGAGCTACAATCATCCAGGTAAGTGGGGCCTATTCGATCACATTCCACATTTGAGCCTTGTGGCTGTTGGACAGGCTTTGGGGAACCTGGAGGTGAGTAATTCACTGCAGAATTCCTAGCCTCCAATTGTTATCACTCATTCATGACAAAGCTAAAGAAGGATCTGTTAATAAATTGTCCACAATGGCTATTCAGTCTAACTTTTTATCAGACTAATTTTTTATCAGACTATTGAACCATGAAGTGATTCACTAAGATACCTTCCTTTTTACTAATATGCTGTCAGAGAAATGAAACTTGATCAGTTCCCAGTAAAGCAAAATTTCTAGCACTAACCTAATTCTCTAATTATTCCAAGTTTTATTAATAAATCATCTTTGCACAATTTTGTCTATCTGTCATTTCTAGGACACTTAAGATTGCAAACTGGAGATGTAACATGGAAAGAAATATTTTAACGTGTTTTACTTTTGTTCTTCCAATTTGAAACTTTAGCCAGATTTCCTGTTATGCTAATTTATAATGGGTGAATTTCCACCCAGACATCAGAAACTTTGACGAGATTGCTCATCAGGTCTGTTAGCATTCAAGATATTCATGCATTTACATACATTTACTGTGGGAAGAAAAGTTAATTGCAAGCCCATCAAAATACGTGTTGGGGCATATTTTCATCAGGATGTCCAATCATGTCCCATCTTTCACTTACTTCAGTCCTATCAGCTGCAGCAAAATCCAACCCATTTTACAGAAACATTCACATACGTTTGGAATGTAGAAGGGAAAATTAGAGCTGTACATGCTAGAAATTGGAAAAAATACCAAATGCTCAAATTGCATGATAAATCAGTTATGTAAAAGAAGTAATAGTTTAAAATTTAGGTGGGAGCTTATCTGAATTTATTGCTGATTTGTTTACAGATATCCTAGTTCAAAGCTCATACACTTTGAAGGGGAAATTCAGTTACTTTTTCATCCCTTTTACTTAGCCTTTCTTTTCTTTTTCTCTAGCAAGGTTTACCTGATAACGAAAATGATGCGAAACTGTTGTCAATTGACCGGTAAGGAAAATAGATTATACATTGTCTGCTCCCAAGCAAGAAGAAATTGTTCTTTACATAATACCTTAACATTTCCTCAGTGCGTCCAAAAGTATTTCACAGCTAAGGTATTCTTTTCTGAAGGATAACTACTTGTGTAGGTAAAACCAGGAACTAATTTGTATACAACAAGATCTCAAAGAATAGTGAATAGATTTTGGAGAGTACAATAATGTTACAGATTTGTCTGGATGTAAACCCCGAGCAAATATGTTAAAGAACTTCAAAATGTAGTCTGTTTTTAACACCCAATCGTGCCCTTGCCCAAGTATTTTTGGATATAATTATTTGCACCAGCCAGTGGTAGAAATGCTGTCATGTTTCTGGATAGGCAATCCAGCACAGAGAGGTCTGACCAATAGTAAGTGTTGGATTGTCCAATTGAAGCAAACCAGGATAATTCCATTTTTCTTTGAATAGTGGCATAGGATCTGTTATTTTTACTCATACATATAGAAGTATCCTTAGTTTAGTGCCTTTGCATTTTCTTACTTTTTCAACAAAGTGACAACCTGTGCTTTGATCCTGGAGTGGAATTTATTCTCTTGATCTACTGCTTCAACAAGAATGTTACCACTGAATTAATTAATATTTAATGTTTATTTGAGTTTGGTCACCACTGACCTTTTTCGGTAGTTAATTGTTTTAGAAGTTGAGAATTCTGAGAACATTATATTTTAATATCCCTGGAGGAGTGAATTAATGTAGAAGTTAGAAAATGGTTTGAATGAAAGCAAATGATAAATATTGGCAAAAATGTATTTGTGAAACCCACTTTGTGCAACAGAACAGTGTGTGTGATCTCTCTATGTGCAGGCAAATGTGTTGAATCTGCAACTTTCATAATTTTATATTGTTAGAAACATCGACATTGGGCGTCATGTAAGTGCAGGCTTAATAGATTTTAATGAGAATAAGAGGAACTAGCTTTTGTGTCATACTACTGATATGTTTTGAAATTAAAATTACGTAATCTCATCTCAATACTAACAATTGTTTTCAATGTTACGTAGTCCAAATCAGGTTCAAGATGAAATAGAAGATGGAATTACAGTGGAGGACTTGGAGCTTATCAAAGAACGAGAGTCTGCAATTAGGCAGCTGGAGGTACATATATTTTGTGGCCTAATACTTAACAAAATGTGTAGTTTTGATACAATGTTTTGTATTCTTTTTCCATAACTTCAGGAATGATTTTTCACTTATCTTGTGTTGAAGCATTGGCTAAGTGGTAAGACACAGATATAAGCCATTTAGTACCTTGAGTCAGTTCTGCATTAGAGATCATGGCTGATCAGTGACTTAACTCCTTTGATCTTTTCCCCTATTGACTAAGTAAAGATCAATCTTGGATCAAATTTTAATTTTAAAACTTACTTCAGTTGCTCTTTGCAGAAAATACACTCTCAACTTCTTCTGCCCTACTTTGCATGAAAAAGAGGCTTCCTGCTTTCATAGAATCCATACAGTGTGGAACAGGCCATTCGGCCCAACAAGTCCACACTGACACTCCGAAAAGCAACCACCCAGACCCATACCCCTACTCATCTCTGTAACACTGTAACATCAGCTAGCAGCAAACCAACACGACAAACTTTCCTTAATATCAGTACACTTAGACAATGGAGGCCATCAGTTTAACTGAGACAACATAACCATAGTAGACCAAGCCAAACATAGACACACATGGGAATTCCTAGAGGCATGGTTCTCAACCCATAATGCAATCAACAAACATATAGAATTGGACCCCATATACAAACGCATACAGAACAACACTGGAAATGACCCTATTCAGCATAACAGACTGGACAGTATAAATTTCTAGCTGAGTAGAAAACATCGCTTTATTGGAGGCCTCACTGATGATGTTACCTAGCATGGTGATGAAACGTCTGAACGAAAGCAAGCCAGCTCGGCGAGCAAGTCAACAACCTCACCCATAACCCGAGCTACAAATCTTTGCTAAAACCTTGAGCTCTGGTATTCCTGGAGTTGTCCCAAAAGTTAAAGATCTTGTAGAAGTATGCAAAGGTCTCCAATTTACCTGGTTTTCAATCCCGGATTGACAGAAAGCATGGACCTGGTTTCTGTACTTAGTAGGAATTAGTATTTATTTCATTTAAATAATCTCTACAGGTGAACATTTATGAACCTTGGCATTAAACACTAATAGTTAAAACTCCAAGCCCCTTAAAAACACCCCCTTTTACACATGCAATTATGCATGCACACATGAACAGTGATGTTTTTAAAAAATAAAGATGTGTCGTGGACAGAGATAAGACTGGGAATGCTGTTTCGTGGTCTCTGTTCACAGGATTTTGTAAAATGGTCCTTGTGGTGATCAGAATCCTGCTTCTCAGTCTTCTTTCTCCAAATGTTTTACTGGTGTATAGAAGGTACAGGGGTTGGTTCACGCTTCTGAAAGATCTCTGACTTAGTTACAGTCCTTAGGCTTGTCCAGCAGATTTGAAATTCTTGCTCTGTGTGTGGATACAAATTCGGCCTGTAGAGCAAACTGACCATAGCACCATGGTACAGGAAGCCATGCAAGAGCAGGGAGGAAAGAGAAATGTAGTTGCAGTTGGAAATAGACTCAGTTCCCTTTGGATAGGATTGAGAGTCTCAAAGGCTGTGTTGCTTGCCTAATGCCTGGATTCAGGATACTTCATCTGGGCTGCAGAGGAATTTGGAGTGGGAGGGAAAAGATCCAGTTGGCATAGTCTGTGTAGGTACCAAACATATACGTAGAAAGGGGTTCTACTGAGGGAATATGAGCAGCTGGGGGCCAAATTAAAAAGCATAACTTAAAAAAAAGTTTTATAACTATAACTGAGCCGTGGGCAAATTGGCACAGAGTCAACATAATAAGCACGATAAACACATGGCTCAAAGATTGGTGTGGGAGAAATGGGTTTGAAGTCATGGGACATTGGCATCAGTACTGGGGAAGGAGGGTGGTGTTCTGATGGGACTGGCTCCACCTGAGTTATGCTGGGACCAGTGTCCTTGTGAATTGTATAACTAGGGCTGTGGACAGGGTTTTAAACTAAATGGTGGGTTTGTGGGTTCAGTTGCAAGGAAAATTATGAAATGAGTAAAAGGTGGGGAGGGCTCCGCAGAGGTTAAAGTTTCCAGAACAATTAAGGGTCAGAAATCTAACTTGAGGCACAGTTGATAAGGGGACAACTATGAGAATGGGGGCAGTCAATGCAGGACTAAGGATGTTGCACTTAGTGCACACAGTATATGAAACAAGGTAAATGAGTCTGTAGCACAGATTGAAATTAGCAGGCATGATGTGGATATCACAGAGGTATGGCTGCAAGGGGATTAGGGCTGGGAATTAAATATCCAACGATGCATGTCCTTTTGAAAGGACAGGCAGATGGGCAGGTATTGGGGGGCACAGATGTTGGTTGGTTGGCCAGCCTAGTTTGTAAGAAATGAAATTAAATCAATGGCAAGAAGTGATTAGAGTCAGAAGATGCGGAACCTTTTGTGGGTAGAGTTGAGGAGCCCCACAGGGAAAAAGACCATGAAAGGAGTTGTGTACCAGCTTCCGAGCAGTAGTCAGGATGTAGGAAAGAAAATTACTATTACAATAATTATGAGGGTCTTTAATATGCAGGTGGACTAGGAAAATCAGGTTGGTAGTGGATCTCAAAAATGGACAAGATTTTTTTTTTTGGAGCAGCTTGTGGTACAGCCCACTAGGGAACAGACAGTTCTGGATTTGGTGATGTGTAATGAGGCAGACTTGATTAGGGAGCTGAATGTGAAGGAACCTCTAGGGGCCAGTGACCATAATATGACAGAATTCACCCTTTGAGAGGGATAAGATTAAATCAGACAAAGCAGTATTACAACTGAGTAAAGACAACTACAAAGACAAGAGAGAAGAGCTGGCCAGAGTTGGTTGGAAGAGGAGCCTAGCAGAGAAGTTGGTAGAGCAGCAATGGCAGAAGTTTCTGGGGGTAATTCAGAAGTTACAGCAGAAATTCATCCCAAGGAAGAAGAGGCGTATTAAAGGGAGGATGAGACAACCATGGCTGACAAGGGAAGTCAGGGACATCATATAAACATACAATGTGATAAAGATTAATAGAAGGCCGAAGGATTGGGAAGCCTTTAAAAACCAGCAGGGGATAACTAAAAAATGCAGTAAGGTGGGAGAAGATGAAGTATGAGAGTAAGCTAGCTAGTAATATAGAAGAAAATTGCAAGAGTTATTTTTAGATATCTAAAAGATGAGAGAGAGGCAAGTATGGACATTGAACCACAGGAGGCTGGAGAAGTAGAAATGAGGAACAAAGAAACTTTGTATCCATTTTCACAGTGGAAGACACCAGCCACATAGCAGAACTTCAAGAGAGTCAGAGGGCAGAGGTGAGTATAATAAAGGAAGAGATATCAAAGTTTCCACACTCCTTCAGTCATAGTCTTACAGCACGGAAACAGACCCTTTGGTCTAACCAGCCCTAGCCGACCATGTTCCCAAACTAAACTAGTCCCACCTGCCTGTGCTTGGCCCATATCTTTCCAAACCTTTCCTATCCATGAACTTATCCAAATGTCTCTTAAACATTGTAACTTTACCTGTGTCAACTACTTTCTCTGGCAGCTTGTTCCACACACGAACTACTCTGTATTAAAAAACACTTATCCCTTTCATCCTTTTGAAATCTTTCTCCTCTCACTTTATGAATGTGCCCCCTAGTTTTGAACTCCCCCATCCTAGGGGAAAGACCCTTGTCATTCACCTTCACTATGCCGCTCATGATTTTATTAACCTCAATGACCTCAACCTCCAACAGTCGAGTGAAAAACATCCCAGCTTTATGACTACCCTGAAAGTATTTCGTAACTATAGTTTGAGGAATACTGTATATTCAAAGCATATTGTGTTAATATTTTTGTAGATCTTGGAGATCTTTAAATTCAAGTGTAGCAAATCTGAAAAGTGCATTTATTTATGCAGTTGTTGCATTGGTTTATTAGTAATGCAATAAAATCAGAAACTGATTGAGCAGCAAATTTGAAATGTAGATTCAAATGAGGAGGGAGAGGAATCTCTTAATCAGAAATTCTCCAATTAGGGGACAGATACTTTACACAACTAACTTTGCTGCAACAAGCCATGGGAACAATTTTATTTACATAACCTCATCAAAAATTAATTCTTTGTTCATTTCAGTCTGATATCCTGGATATTAACGAAATATTTAAAGACTTGGGAATGATGATTCATGAGCAAGGAGATCTAGTTGGTAAGCACCTTTTGTTCCAATGGTGTCCTTAGCTGTGCTACATTTATACAAGTTTGTTTTATTTCAGATGCAGAAATTTTTTTAAAACATCAATAAAAATAGCAGTCACTATTGAGATTAATATTTTCTATCAGAAGGCTAATTAAATGTATAATTGTGGTGTGATATGCACACTTTCAGAAATAATTTATAAGGATTTTCTTCCTGTTCTATAAATTAGTAGATTCAATTGATATGGATTCCTGAACTGCACATAACACTCGAGCTGTGGCCTGACATTTTATACAGTTCCAGCAGAACCTCCCTGCTACACTTTCCATTTGCTACAGAGTTTTGGCTTGTTATAATAGGATTTGATATTCTTTTGAAGTATGATTAATTGCTGAGTAGAAGGCTGTTTTTACATTTACAAGGTGATAATTGAGTTAACTGAGGCTTAAGAAATTCGCTCCATCATATCTTAGAGTCCAGAGACTGCAATTGCTTTTGATGAGTAACCTAGCAAATTAAATGGGAAATATTGGCATAGCAAATTATCACAATAAATGTTGTCAAAGTCATAATAGCTGAAAGCTGCTTGTGTAATATATGAACAGACATTTCTTGCTGAATGTTTTATTCATGTGGTCGTTTATATGCATATTGTAAACAAATTTTTTACTTTTTTTCCCCCCCAAACTAATACCATGTCAAAGTTTTTTTTTTTTTTTTTTAAAATCTGTTACAGTTTTAGATGACTGGTAGCTTCACAGTTTGGGACTTCCTGCCACTGAGGGGCAAATGCCAACTGCACTATTTAGCCTGCCCACCACACGTTATGGCTCCTAGGCAGGCTTTCTGTGGATTGTTAGCTAGCAGCTGACAAATTTGCAAGCAACCAGATCATGGAAGTTGAATTCTTCTTTTGTTCAACATTTAAATTCTAGTAAGCAACTATTGTCACATTGGAGGAGGGCCAAATTACCCTAAGGATACTGTCCCTTTAGGAAATTGCATTCATGTGAGTTCAAGATTTTTTTTTTTTGTTGTTGTGTTCTAAAATATTTTCTGAAGAGCTTTGCATGTATAAATCAGCTGTGTTATCGTCAGTCTATAATAGTCTCTCTCAGTTGTGTATTACTTCAAACTTTGGCTGGTATGGCACTGGAAAGAGTTGATTAGAATCTGAACCTAGTGCAGCTTCAAACAGACTTCCTAAAATGTTAATGTCCATTAGTTCTTGTTAACTTCTATAAAATAGTCATTGACTTAAAAGTTGCACACCAACTTCCATTGTGTCCTTTAGTAAAGGGGAGGCTCCTGTGAATTTGCTGAATTGATCTCAGGATAGAAAACTGAGTTATTGCTGGTGGTATGCAGCAAGTTGCTGAAATCAGATGAGTATCTTCAAATTTCACAGCTTTTGTTTAAAACTTTTGTTTTTATTAAACTATAATGCAGTACCTTGAATTAGTGCTTCACTGGCGTAGATTATGCCACTAAAGTGCACACAATGTACATACCCAGAGCTTTTTTCAAAAACAGAAAAATAACAAGTGGCTGTTGGGTTAAGTCAAACTCATGCATGTGCTGGTTAAACAAAAAGAATTGTCAAAGGAGTTGAGGAGAAATCCTGGGACTTAACACTGTTTATTGGGTTGTTAACACCTATGAGTTTTGAATTAACACAGCTCTGCTGATGCCTCATTATTTTAGGCTGAGCACGGAATTGTTATAGTGCAGATGGAGGCCATTCAGCTCTTCATGTCTGCACCAAAAATCTCTCCCCATTCTAATTTGTTGTCAAAATCTTTGCTTTTTCCTTTGTAGCCCATCATTTTTCTATTTAAATAATCATTTAATACTTCATTTGAACCTGCCTCCACCACACTTCCAAGCAATGCATTCTAAACCCTAACTACTTTTTCATGAAAATGATTTTTTGTTCACTCACCCCACATTTGCTTCTTCCTCAAAACACTGTAAACTGTGCTGTCTATGATTCTTGATCCTTTTGACAAACTGGAATAGTTTATCCTTATCTAACCCATCCAGATTTCTCATGATTTTGAAAACTCCTATCAAATCTCCCCTTAGCTGTGTCTGAGGAAAACAGTCCTAGCTTCTCCAATTTTTCCTCATGACTGAAGTGTCTCCTCCCTGGAACAATTCTCATACACGTTTTCTGTACTGTCTCCAAAACATTCACATCCTTCCGAAAATGTGGCATCCAGAACCAGGTCCTATGAAAAATCGTCATAAGTTTCCCTCCTCTTGTATTGTATGCCCTTATTAATGAATTCTAGAATACTGAATGCATTATACACCTGCTCTACCACTTTTAATGACTTAAATTCATGTACACCCAGGTCTTTCTGCTCCTACACACACTTTTTAGAATGGTACAATTCATTTCATTTTGTAATATTTTGCGTTTGTTTTTTTGAACCAAAGTGAATCACCTAACACTTCTGTGTTTTTAACTTGATCTGCCACGTGTCGGCCCACTCCACCACGTCAGTCTTTTTGAGACTGCTGCCCTCTCAATTCACATTTCTTCCAAGTTTTATGTTGTCTGCAAACTATGGAATTGTCCCCTGCACATCAAGATCTGGATCATTTACGTGCATCAGGAAAAGCAATGGTTCTGACCTGAAACGTCAATTTTTCTGCCCCTCTGATGCTGCCTGGCCTGCTGTGTTCCTCCAGCTCTACACTGTGTTGTCCCAATATCAACCCTTGGGGAACTTCAGTACAAATGTCCCTTCCACCCTTTAAAAAATAACCATTAAACATTACTTTCTGCTTCCTACACTTCAGCCAATGTAGTTTCCTTGTTGCTACTGTACCTTTTTATCCTGTGACCATTAACTTTCCTGTCAAAGCTGTTGTGTATCAATGGGCTTTTGGAAATCCATTTACACCATATCAATAGCGTTCCCCTCATCAGCCCACTGTTACCTCTTCAAAAATCTCCAGCAAGTTGGACATTGTTTTCCCTCATTGAATCCATGCTGACTGTTTCTGAATCAGCCCACATTTTTCCATGGGACTACTAATTGTATCCAACATAATTGTTTCTGGATGCTTCCCCTCCCCCCAACCTGATGATCACCATAATAAATTGAATTCATGTGTGCCATTTCCCCTTTGTTACACATTTGAAAATGGTATGTTAATCACATAAACAAAATGAAGTTAAGAAAAGTTCAGTCCTAATTGGGAAGATATTGAGAAATTTGTCCAGCGAATTTGTGTTAGTTCTTCCTGTACATATGAGTTTTTTTTTGTTTGGGTTCATACTTCAATATTGTTGCATGTTTCTATAGATAGCATAGAAGCCAATGTGGAAACTGCTGAAGTACATGTTCAGCAAGCAAACCAACAACTAAGCAGAGCAGCGGAATATCAGGTATGGTATGGTCTGTATTTTGGTTAGGGTAAATTAGAAAGGTACATGAGTTTGGTTTTCATTTCCTTCCTTGAGCTCAATCACATTGGTTGCAGATCAAGCAACATCTTGCTTTTAACATTTTTCTTGTTTTTAAATCCATCCATGACCTTGCCTCTTTCTGTCTCATTATCTTCAGTCTCTCAATCCTCTGAGATATCTGTGCTCTTCTAATTCTAGCCTCTTGTTCATCACCAACTTTCATTGGTTAGCGATTGCCGGCTGTGCCTTCAGTTGCCTAGGCCCCAAGCTCTAGGGTATCCTTCCTTTACTTCTCTAATGCACTGTTTTCCTCCTTTAAGAGACCTTCTTTAACCAGCTTTTTGTTTTCTGGTCTAATATCTCTTTACATGACTTAGCATCATATTTTGATTTTATTACACTTCTGATAAGTGTCTTTTTTATTAATTTGAAAGTGCTATGTGAATATAAGTTGTTGCAGTTCACTTCAAAGTTAATTGTATTGTATTGTACAATTATTGTTTAATTATCATGTACCATGTAAAGATGAGTATTGCCTTTCTCATACTTGAGATCTACCTATTGATGGATTTAAAGTATGCTTTTGTTTTACTTCGATTGTTTAGAAATAATTAGATTTACTACTTTTTCTTTCCCACAGCGCAAATCTCGTAAGAAGATGTTCATCTTAATTATGGTATTGGTCATCATAGCTGTGGTAGTGGGAATCATTATCTGGGTTTCTGTGAAAAAATAAATTCAGAAGATTTAACATAGATATTGCATTCAAATACTGGCATAACATTAAACATCAATAGAGTCAGGGTTATGTACTGATGCCTAATTCTTTATTCTAATAAATAACATAGAAAATTAAACAGATATCCAAAGTATGCTTTCTAACAATATAATCAGAAAATGTAATTTATAAATTAAGATGCTGTGCTTTGCAAATTCAAATGCCACCGATTTAATAATACACATTGTCAAGTCTCTTGATGCTTATAACAACATCGTGGGAATTTTTCTCCCCCATACCAGGTTACCATAATCTTAATCTTCAAGTTCTGTTGATGATTGTAGATTTTATTTTAGTTTTACCTAATTTCCAGGCAAAAGGCATTCCGATTGGTAGAAGTATGCCTGGTCCAGTGCTGAAATTGCTTTTCTCATTTTTTAAAATGGTGCCAGTTTAACCTATTTTCTATTCTTATTTGACTGTTGACAGCTTTGGCTTTGTGCCTGCTTATAATCATTAAATGAAGTTAGAATGCACTCAGTAATATCAATAGTAAATATCTATAGACTTCTTTCTAAAAAGTAACTTGCAATTGTCTGGTGTTTGCAACATTTGCACTGAATAAACCTAGTCTGACTTTGTAACACATGCACCCCTTTGTATTGTGTGTAATCTTGATGAACAATGCAGAAAGGACTATATTTATATTCCTGGGGATGTATCATGCATTTTAATACAAATTGTGCCATTTTGAGATTGTATGCTTTGCATATGGTTTTTCAGACTTGGACTTAAAAATTAGACTAGACTGTATAACAAAATGCAAAAATGCTGCTTAAATAAACTATTTGTCAATATTGCGTTATCTTTGTCATCAACCAACTATAGATGATGTACCAGTTAGTATGTTCTTTAAGCTACAATTTATTCAAAAGTTGATATGTGAACAAAAAGAAAATTGATATAATTTGAATAGTTAAATTCAAGTCATGTGGCTCAGGCCAATTGGACAACCTACAGTAAAGAACTTTTTCCTGGGAGGTGATGGGGAAAGAATGTTTTTTAAACTCAAGCTAATCAATAAGCAACTGAACTACATTAAGTCATCTGGTATTTTTACAAGGTAGCATAAAGCTAACATTGTACTGAAACACCGTTCCTATACTTTGTCAGTTTGCTGTAATATTCAGGTTCTGTTCAGAAAATCCTGTTTTACATGCATTTATATATCTAATAAATGTTGACAACCGCTTTTACTAAAATTTAAAAGCTCAGTCTTTTATCACAGTGCTTGATAATTTCATATATGAAGCAATTTCCCTCATGGGTTGCCATGAAAATAGGGATCGTGTAACATTTATGCTAAGGAGGTTTGGGAGGGAAAGGGATTCTATTGTTAGCACATTGTTTAAAAAAAAAAATTAGCTTCCATCAAATAGGCAAAAATAGTCCACCACACAAAATTCTTGATCCCTGTCCCAGAATACATATAACTCTGCTCTTTTAAATATCTGATTAAAACAATACATTTTATCATATTTGATGTCCTCCGTGGCAATCTGCAAAGCCTGTTCATTATCTTAAAAAGCAGGTCGTTCAAGAGGCTATTTCAGCTGAGTCTCTTGGCATCTGTAGTCTCCATGGCTATTGAGATTCTGCTTTGATCAAAGACTACTTGTGGGATAATGAATGTGCTGTCTGTTCAATGGTTCCTAACACTTTACTCATCAAATGCAATTTTTCACGCAGAGGGTGGTGCTTGTATGGAATGAACTGCCACAGGAAGTGGTGGAGGCTGGTACAGTTATAACAACATTTAAAAGGCATCTGGATGGGTACATGAATAGGAAGGGTTTAGAGGGATATAGGCCAAATTTTGGCAAATGGGACTAGATTAAATTAGGATATCTGGTTGGCGTGGATGAGTTGGAACTGTTTCCATGCTGTACAACTCTATGGCTCTAAATGCTAGCCTCCAGCTGGAGGATAGTGGCAAAATATCTTAACAGTTTATTATGCAGAAAAATATCACAAGCAATATGTTAAGAGGCTAGGAAGTATCTTCACTGTACTTCAAAAGAATCAAAACCATTCATTGATTATTTACAAAATGTATGGATTGATGTATTTTCAATGTCTAGGATCAAACTCCAATTGAAAAGACAGTTGTTCTTCCAAAGATATAATAGATGCAATAGGTTTATTTCTTATTTATTTTGAAGTGTCATGAACTTTCATGGCTTCGTGGTATTCACTGCTTGTTCTCATTTTTGACAACTCAAATTGGTAGGAAATATCCAGATTCCAGATTTCAGTTTTCTGTAACTGCTCTACAACAGTATAGCTTGAAAACAAATACAACGGATTTCCTGGAGTTGTTAGTGTTGGATGATGAGTTGCAAAATGTATCAGATGGTCAAACAAAATAAGAGTTGAGTCTCAGATTATCAGTCTTCAAGGCTTGGTGAAAGGTGGTAAAATCTGTTTCTAACGTAGTGACCTCCTTCCGAAGCAGTATACAGTTTGTTATCGTGTATGTGAAGAAGTTGACCCTACTAATTTAATTTCCATTAAAATGTCACCAGTTAAGATCTTGTTACATGGTTGTTTAAAGAAGAAACCTAAACAGCCAGCAATTAGCCGACAGAACTACACCACAAGATTTCATTAAAATAAAATAACTGCAGATGCTGGATATCTGAAACAAAAACAGAAATTGTTGGAGAAACACTGAAGGTCTGGCAGCAGCTGTGGTGAGAAAACAGGGTTAATGTTTTAAATCTAGTGACCCTTCTTAAAAACAGTAACAGTTTTCTCCAGCAATTTCTGTTTTTGTTCAAGATTTCATGTTAATAAAAACAAACAATTAAACAAAGTTAGCAATGCTAACTTATAATGACTTATTATAATATCAGTTCTACTTTTTAAGACTCTTACAATCACCACCCACTCCCCAAAGACATCTTACAAATTCATTTACTTTTGCTAGACCAACCCAAAAGGTATACCACAGTCTTCTAGAACTTACTTTAATTGTCCTTGGTATCTCAGCTGTTCCTCAAGATGTATCTTGCATAGGGCTCCATCCATTTGCTTTTGGCTAAGTAATCCTTCACTTTTCTTTCAAGACCTTGTGACCTAACATTTTAACTCTTTGACCTGACTTTCAACATAACATCAAACATTTCTTCCCCCTACCTCCCCTCCCCCCCCCTCCCCCCACCCCCCTTCTCTGCTTCCACAGTTTTTGTGCAGTTTTTTTCTAAGTCCATTGTTCACGTTGATTGCTTTCTGTCACAGGGCTTTGTGAAGACCACTATTAAGTTTTTCCACTAGCTTCAGGTTAAAATATTCCAGCTGTTTTATTTCTTCCTCAAAACCCAAATGAAATGCCTGCAATGGCAACGAGACACAACACGATTCATCCTGAGGCAGAAATACAAATTAGCTACCTTTTGTAATTCCAGAAGATTTCCTTGACTCCAGGAAGTTCTCTGAATAACTTCTGTTGTTAACAAAATTGGACAAGGATTCCCAGTCACATTGGTAGTATCACAAACCTAAGTCGTACCTTTCTATCTCTGACCTTCTTGAGTCAATGTCGCCCCAAACTTATTGTTAATTGCTTTGGATTTATCATTTAACTTTCATTGAAAAGTTCCAGTTCTCAAACCAAAAGATATACTCCAAAAAGTTCTATTCTAAAATATATAAATTGTGAACCAGACTTTTCCAACTCATCAGATATTCATGCCAGTATCTAAAGTTCAGTGCTACTATACTTCAAAGTAAAATTGGGAAAATGTAAACTTTTGAACAATGCTGTTTAAATATAATTTCCTTTCTTCCCATTCAGTCCTTGATCTGAGAGTTGGTTAAATAAGTCAGACAGATGAAATATTCTGTTAAATTCTTTGACTTGGCTGGGTTTTGTTTTGCATTCCTAGGAGATTATTAATGCTGACACCCGATGTACTGTGCGATCCTTTATTTGAAAGGACAAAGCACACACATGCTTTGTCATAGTACAGTCGCTGATCAAAACAAGACTTTATTCCTTAATCAACCATTTTAGGAGAACATAACATATGCAAAAGCAGATGAGCATTTTAACTGGAATCATCCACAATTAAAATTTTGCTTCATATT